CCGGCGGGCACGGAGGGCGCCTGCGCCGTCAGGGGGGAGCGGGCCGCGCACGCGCGGTGGGCGGGAACGGCGGAGCATGGCGGGCGGCCGTGAGGGGAGCCGGGCGTTCGCTGTGGGGACCGCACCGGAGGGTTCGGAAGCGGGTCCGGCCGCCTCCCCGCCCGGCTCTGACCCGTCCCTCCCGCCTCCCCGCCGGGCCCCGACCCGTCCCGGCCGCCCTACGGCGGGAGGCGGTACCGGACGGGTGGTGGGATCAATGGGGTCAAGTCTTATGGGCAGTAAAGGGCTTAAATGAATAAATACCGGCGATGAACCGTCGCCACTCGGATGTTACGGAGATAACGCGATGGTGGTGCCTTATCTCAGGCTGGCGGGAAGGTAACGAGGTCTTGTTTGGTTGTGAAAAGTCTGAAATATTCCTCAAAAAAATTATTACGGCTAAAAGTTGCCAAGCGGCGCAGCTTCCTATTTGCATTATTTTCAGAATAACGGGTGAGGCAGCAATTAGAAACCTCCAGCCGTGATCTGGGGGTCTTTACAGAGACGTATTTACCTTCTCGCTTCTCCTTGAGGGTGTGAGTGAAAAGCCAGTCCGGTTTTGGGAAGCTCGTAACACGGAACTGGAGGTGGAAATGTCCAGAAATGGACAAAAGCGGCCGCACAACGACAGCCGTAGAGAGAAGGGCGACCGGCACCACGCGGGGTAAGCGACCAGCCCCACGTTCAAACTTTCCCCAGCATTTAAGAGCACCTTAAAGTTAACTAATCATTTTTTTTTAAAGCACCCATTTAGGAGCTGAATGTCAACCTTTATTCTTTTGAACATCTGAATTCTTGAGGTGACAGCACCGTATTGAGCCACGTGATCTACTTAGAGTGATAAAATTTTCCTTTTTCCTTCACCTCTATCTCCTGCATTCACGGTGTTGCTCGGAAAACAGTCAGTTCTGCACAGGAGCAACCATTTTCCAACCAGGAATTAAACCCCCGAGTCCAAAGCCGAGCCCAGTGCTGAGCCCAGGGGTTGTGACAGCTGCTTCCACCCTCCCCCAGACGTGCCAGGGGAGAACTTGGTTTCACAAAGATTAGGGAAAAAATGTTTCCTGTGAAATGTTTTCCACAAACCATACAAAGCACTGGATTGTGTCTGGATGCCACGACAAACCACACATGAAGAATCCATTTTCTAGGTTCATTACAGCAAGGTGTCTTCCCTCAAACTCTCTCTTCCCCAAAAGAAAGTGCAAGAACTTGAGGTGACACAAAAGAGGGCGACTCGAGCCCATCGCTGCGAGCGCCCAACCCTCGTGTCCGAGTACCCGGCTGCAGCCAGATAAAATTCAAAGTATTGGCTAAAACCTGAGCCTCAAGAGTCATTTGAACGAGGCCTCTCTCTCCTCAACAGTCCTGCAGCTTAAGAAATCGAGGCCAAGAAAGTTCCACTAATAGTTTGGTTTGATTTAGAAGATGCCTCAGCACCACACTCTCTCTTAAGTGATCTCGGTGCTGCTGGGGAAGCATTGCTGGCCAAAGAGGTTACAGAACATGAATATAAATAACCCAAGAAGCCAGACACAATTACGAGACTAAATAAAATTTCTCAAAACACACCAACACTGTATTCATTTCTCCTGTAATGGAATGAACCCGGCGTCAAATGTATGTTTTACCCTTAAATAGAACAACTTTATTCAACCAAATCCAACGTTATTCCAAAACTATTCCTTAACATTGACTTACAGAATTGTTGACATTTTCCCTATTCAAAATCCCTTACATATTGCTTAGAAAAAAAAAAAAAGGAACCTTTGAAATTTTAATTTAAAAAGCATTTTTGGAAAAACAGAAGGTGAGAATCCCATTTTTTTAAATCATCCTTTTCTATTTCTCCAACAAAACTAAATGGAATAGTGAGACAGTTGGTGCTACACACCAACGTTTTGCTGAGCTTTATAAAAACGAGACCGGAGAAGTGCAACTTCCAGGGACGCGAGACAAGGGTGACACCAGGAGACACATCACGAGCTGGGGGGGGACTAACAACGCCGAGTTTTAAGATTGTGGTCTTCAGTCGTGCTCTGGTTCCACCCTGCAGACTCTAAGCACCGTGCTCTAAGCCTAGCTACACGATTTACAGTTCGCTTTATTTCCAGAAAGTTGAAATCATTTTACTTTGAAGATTTTTTTGGCTCAGGGACCTAAAGGCTCGGTCCCCCCGGCAGCGAGTGACGCAGCCTGCACCGTGTGTGATGGGATGGGCTGAAGAGGCTGAACGTGTCCTGTCCCACATGAAGAGGAGCTTGTGCCGAAGAACAGGCCACAATCCCAGGGCTGTATTTTGAAAGCATTATAATCTTTTGTAGAAAAAGTTATGTTTCCAGCCAAAAGTATCTTCCAAGTTAAGGGCCGCGTTTGTGAATGACTTTCAAGATCCAAATAACCTAGTGGACGCAACAGGAAAAAAAATAAAAGGAGATGAGAAGTGGGTACAAGCGGGAACAGTCACACCAGTGCCCTTCTGGCTCAGTGCACATCTGGCCAGCGGTTTTTCTCCCCCGTGTATCAGACTATAAAGCTACATAAGCACAAGGAAAACAGCCTGACAGCCTGCCCACAGAACCAAACCCTGCTGTTTCCAGGTCTATTCTCAAGGCTGATCCCGTTCTATTACTTGGTGGGTTTCCCCTGCTCCCCTAAAATGAGAAACATCCCCCCAAAAACTGAAATGCTGCCCCAAATGATGTTTTATCCAAGCAGCCCACAACAAGGAACGCTGTGTCTAAGGCTAAATGACTCACATGCTGGCAAAGAAGGTTTTCATGCACTACATGGAGGTCAACCAATGTCTCTTTGAAGAATGAAATAAAGAAGTGAAATAAAAAAGGAATTATGGAACAACAGAGTTGTTCCTGAAAAGAAACGTGCAAGAAAAATCCCAATATGTGCAACTTCCTATAAACAAATGACAAAACACGTTACTTACACAATCATGCAGAACATCATGAAGACATTCCACAAGGCAATGAAGATTCGAAAATATCTGAGACTCAGCAAAAACTCTCTGATATTATCACCTAAAAATCAAGAAAAGACGACTTCGATGTAAAAAGCTACCCAATACACTGACAAGTCACATTTTCAACACTGCCTTGGGTGAAAAACCCAACTCTGACACAGAAAACACCCAAAAAGGTCAGAGAACAAAAGACTGAAAGTTGAAGTTTTAAGTAAATGATGCAGACTATGTTCAGTTCATCCCTACGATGGGTTTGGGGGAAAATAGTAAATGATAAAAAGGGGTCACACTAATAAAAAGGGAAGAACAGCCCTCTGAAAAATATGCATTTTTGTATTTCTTCTCAAATCGCCAATTTGGGATGAACAAAGGTTTGTCATAGCTGTCATGTAAACATTGGGGGGGGGAAATTTTAAGTTGCAATTTAGTAAAGCAGTTACTCCAGCCACAGAGTAGTTCACATCCACGCAAAACGAGGTTGAACTTGCACTTTGGCGCTGTGAAAAAATAATGCTTTAACCAAGAATTTTCTTCAGAAAATGCCCGTTCCTGTCACACTTGGCCCTCCCCGAGCCCTCAGCCCTGGGGGTGCGGGCACAGGCCGATGGCTCCCGGTTCCCCTCCGTTACCGGTCGTGGGTTCCCTCGCCTCCTCGCCGAAGCCCTCGGTGTCTCTCTTCCTCCTGTAGGACAGCAAGGGGGGATCTGTGTGAGGGGAGGGGGTGAAGGGCCCTGTCTGGGGGGGGGTGTGTGCGAAGGGCCCCTTCTGGGACACACACACACACACACGAAGGGCCCCTTC